GAATCCCCACCCGTTTGAGAGCGAGAGCTACCCAGAGCTGGTGCATCAGTGACGGCGTCCAAAACAGTGGATGGGACAACACATTTCAGTTTGCAACGTCCCGATCCAAGGAAACATGCACAATCCCCACCAATGGGCAGTCGCGACAGGGCATCAGCGTTTGTATGGCGAACACCCTTTCGGTAAGTAGTCGTGAATTGGTAGTCCTGCAGGACTTCCAACCATCGAGACAGTTGTCCCGATGGCTGGTCAACACGGAGTGCATATTGTAATGCCGCGTGGTCAGTACGGACAGTGAAGTGCCGCCCGTAGAGATACAGCCGGTACTTTTGGATAAAAAAAAAACGATAGCCAATAGTTTGCGACGAGTAACGCAATATCGCTCTTCTGCCGGCGATAAAACCCTGCTACCGAAGGCGACGACGCGCTCGACTCCTCCAACGACCTGCGAGAGCACTCTGCCAATGCCGGTGTTACTGGCATCCGTGTCGAGCAGAAAGGTTGCAGTGAAATCAGGGTAACACAGTGGCGGAGCACTCACGAGGGCATCCCTGAGGGAGCTGAAGGCGGCCTCCTCCTCAGGACCCCAGCAAAATTTTACACCCTTTGCCGTCAGAGCATGGAAGGGCTTGGCTATGGTGGCAAAGTGGGTGACGAACCGCCGATAGTATGAGGCAAACCCTACGAAGCTACGGACCTCACTGACCGAAGTGGGCGTGGGCCTTGAGCTGACGCACTGAGTTTTAGTGGGATCAGTGGAGATACCTGAATGACTCACTATGTTCCCCAAATACCGCACAGATTCCCGGAGGAGGTGGCACTTCTGTGGCTTAAACATTAATTTAGCGGACCGCATTTTTAGGAATACTGCCCGTAGATGTTCAAGGTGTTCCTCGAACGTCCGGCTGAACACAATGACATCGTCCAGGTAAATTAAACAGGTATCCCATTGGAGACCAGCCAAAACCAATTCCATCAAGCGCTGGAATGTCGCGGGAGCTGAGTGGAGTCCCATGGGCAACCGATTAAACTGGAATAAGCCCACGGGTGTTCTAAAAGCGGTCTTGGGTTTTGACTTCTCGTCCAGGGGAAGTTGCCAAAATCCCGATAGCAGGTCTAACGTGGAGAAATATTGTGCCCCCGCCAAGGCGTCCAATGATTCGTCCATTATGGGAAGTGGATATGCGTCGGCTACAGATATCTTATTCAGGCGACGAAAATCTACGCAAAACCTCAGAGACCCATCGTGCTTTTTGACGAGCACGATGGGGGCTCCCCATGGACTGGTAGAAGGGGAAATGATATCTGCCGACAGCATGTCATTAACAGCCGATTTGACATGCTCCTTCTCGGCAGGGCTTAGCCGGAAAGGATTTTGCCGGATGGGGGCAGCGTCACCCGTGTCAATATGGTGACGTAGCAAGTCGGTGCAACCGATGTCATATTTGTGGTTGCTAAAAACGTCGGAAAATTCAAGCAACAGGGTGCATAGTGCAGCAAGTTGCGAACCGGACAGGTCACTGGATCCAGAACAAAGTGAATCCAACCACCCCTGATCCCGGCTTAGTTCTGTATGTGGAGCGGAACCGGTATGCACATGCCCAATCACCGGCTCTCCCATTGGTGCGGATATTGCGTGAGCGAGCATGGTCCCCTGTGGGACCACAGCCATCCGAGAACCCGCATTTAGAACCATGACGAAGGGATCCCCATCTGCTCACACTATCGTCTGAGCCACCAACAACTCCAGCCCCTTCACTGCTCCGTTCGACGGACCCAAGAGAACCCCATGTGGTGCTACCCCTATGCCGAGAGGTTTTCGCAGCCGCAGGGGAACCAACATTTGCGACCCAGGTGGTACATGTACCACCCTGGCGGTACGTGTACCGTCTGGGTGGCCATTGCTTGTACAGTCGCAGCGGTTGTGCGTATACCGCTGGGGGAAACCAAAATCGCAATGCGGCAGCCCGAAGAAAGTTCAATACAGCCCTGATCAATGAAGATTTTAATTGGCATTTTAGACAAAAAATCTGTTCCCAACAAACATGGGACTGCGAGAGAGGATGAAACCAAGACTGGCCCAGATAGTTTAATATCGCCAATACAAATTCTCGCCCGGATTTGACCGATGATGCCCAAGGATCCTCCGTTTGCCACATAGCATGGAATGTCAATAGGCAGTAATGGTCGACATTGCACAGGGAGTATGTTAAAGATCAGGTCGGATATAATTGTTGCCGACACCCCAGTGTCAACCAGTACTCGAACCTCGACCCCCTCAATAGAACTCGCAACCACAGACAATCCGGCCGACGCAGCAACCACCCTATAAGCCAACTCAGACCACTGACCTGGTCCAAGTGCTCGTCCAAACGCACCACCCCTCACTGAACTGGCGCCCGTGGCGCATGTAGTGTCATGTGTGGCGTGGTGAGTCGTGTGTAGTGTGTGGGGGGGCCGAGCATGTGTGGTGCCGCGACTTGCCGGAGATTGCTGGGATGACCTGGGAGCCTGGGCGTTGTCCGGCCGAGGTCCTGGTACGTGCTGCCGTGGAGCCCGGCACCCCGATGCAACATGGCCTCGGAGGCCACAGTTATATCAGGTGACGAGGGCTGACGATGGTCTTGGTTGCTCCAGCTTGCGCGCCAGATGCTGAGATGGTCGGCCACCTCCAATCCCCCGAACGAGTCGCAGCGAAGACCTCCTCTGATGGCTGGGCATCTCGGGGCTCGCTGCACAATAAGGTGGAGGCGATGAGAGGCCGGTTCCGCTTCAGGACCTCGTGGGCATGAATGTTTGTGGCGACTCGCAACGAGCATATATCCGCATCATCTGCTGCCAGGACGACAAAGCCCAGCTAGAAGCTTCTCCGTTACCATGGCATCGATGCCTTCGCAGTCCATCCGTGGAAAAGCTGCCTTAACGAGGGCCAGAAGAGCTGTGCGGTAGGCGAGAGGCATTTCCTTCGCGCCCTTCCACTTGTCGTGGAAATAGTGGCGACTCACAGATGGCGGCCCGTAGACAGTGGCCATCAACTGAAGCGCTGCCTGCAGTGTAGAATGACGCGATCTTGGGGCTGACACTAGGGTGGCCAGAGCGTCGTCGTCCATAGTCGCTGGGAGGGCGCGCAGCGCCTCATCATCGGACCAGCCCGACATCTCTTGGTGGGCGAGGAAGCATCGTTGGAAGGCTCCCCAGTCGCCTCCGTCAGCTGTGAACACTGTTAAAACGGGCAGTCGCTGCTGGAACATCTGCTCCGTCGCTTGCCGATGATGGCCCCATACAACACTGTCGTACAGTGCAATGGCGGCCCTCTCCGTAGGTCTTAGCGCTTCTGGCGCGGAGATTTCCGGTTGGCTACGGCTGTACCCGTCGCTTGGGGATGACGTGGCGAGCGGTGGTTGGGTGCCGCCTCCCACGTGGTGCGCCCGGCTCCCGCCACCCCCGGAGTCCACCCCGGAAATGGCGGCAATTTCAATTTGCGGCATCGTGTTAATGGCGGGAACGGTTGTTTGCCGCCGATTCTCCCCCCTCTCTCCCGCCCCCGCTCCTCCCGTTTGGGTAATTTCTTCAAGTATGGAGGCGGCGGCGAGCAGTAATTCGGCGAGGCGGGAGTGAGCATCCCGAAGGCCACCCCTCGACTGTGGCGGCATGCCCGGCGGCTGCGATGGCTGTTGAAGCGCTGGCATCGCCCCAGGCTTCCTCTCCAACTCGTGCGGACCCACCTCTCGCAGGGTCGTCAACTTGCCCTGGTTCGCGCGCACGAACTGTGTTCCTCGTGTCCATCTCGTGCAGGTAAAAACCACTTCTGACACCAGTTGTAATGGCCTTATTGACGTCGGAGACTGTTCTTTGGAGGCAACACGTATTTATTACAAACACTTCAATTACAGTGGCAAATCTGATACTTGAAGAGGTAACGGCCTCTTCACCCTTACTTTATAGAGGGAACGTTCCCCGAGCTCTAGCCCACGCTAGCTCCCTGGTTCCCTCTACCCTGGTCCTCTCTCACGAGGCTATCTGACCTGGCCCAGCTTCGGCGCAGGTCCCGATCACCAGCCACACGAGTCCGGCCCTCAAAAGGACATCGGGCCTCGCGGCTCTGGTGTCGCACCCTGGCTTGCTTTGCCCGGCCCTCAAAAGGACAGCGGGCCGAAGGAGTTCCAGGGTCTAGCTAGTCGATCTTCTTTCTTCACTGGCTCTTCATCTTGCTTGAGTCGAACTCCTCTCAGCTCTCCGGGTCCCACCTTTTATACTGTCCCTCACTGAGGGGTGGGGCTGGGAGGGATCACAGCATCCCCCACAGCCCCCAGCGTGGTGGCCATAGCGGACGTGTTTGTGGCCACCGCCCTACAACCACGTGTCCCCCTCCCGTAACACCTCTACATATGTATATGTACGTATATTTTAATTATTTCGCACTGTACGTAGCCAACCATGCTAATTGGAGGGGCGGGATATCGAGGGTATTCTTATCCTTGTATAAAGACGACTTCGAGGCACTTGTCTTGAGATGGTTTTCTTTTATTAAGAAGCCACGTGCTCACACTCGGACAGGGAGACCCCACTGCAACAGCCCCGAGTCTCCTGCGCATCTCCCTTATATACAGTCCGAGGCCATGCCCCCATTCCCAAATCTTCTCGCTGGTTCTAGACCGCTCACTCTACCAGCAAACACGACTGTCCTCTTCCGTCACCTGGCAATGATCCCATTCTCGATCATTCCCATAGCCACCAGTCCATTTGTACTGCAGGCTTACTCCCCTGTCATTACCGCCCGTGGCCACTAGTCCACTCACACCGTAGGTTGACTCTACTGTCATTACACATGTGTATTTACATGCTTTTTTTAAGCCAGATATTTATATCAGTGTTGGCTACAAAGTCTATGGCTTAACTATATGTATGTTGAACTTCTTTTGCGCCGAATCAGAGGTGCAAAACTACAGATGAAACATTCATGAAATTACGTAGAGACCATGGACAACTCTCCTTCATACCTGTCCACCCAGCTCCCTGGCCTTGTCAAAGCTCCTCATGGCGAGCATGTGGTCGATGCCAGGGTCCAGCCCCATCTCGTTGAGGACTGTGATGCCGGCGTTGCGGGCACTGGGGAACAAACTCAGCTGGAAGCATTTGGAGAGGACTCAAATCTCATTGGACAATACAGAGACAATTTAAAAACAATATCGATTTCAGCAGGGCCTTTACAATACGTGACAAAAATCATGGAAAATATTCTACTTTTGATGATTTAAAATCTGTTTTCATCCCATATATAAACGTACCAATTACAAAGTCAAGTCTAAATGTAACCATAATAAAATGCAGAGTGAGATGGTTTTTATCTGTTTGCGCCCCTGAACCAGTTGTAAATTCTACATTGTTATGGCGGTGTAATTCTCACCATAGAACAACTTTTATCGACTTCCCACAAAGTGGTAATATTTTCATTGATCCCAGAGGTGGAAGACTGGGTCGGTCCTCATTCAGAATTTGAACTCAGAACCTTCAGACTGAGCCAAGCATTCTACATTAGTATTCACCTATATGAACTGAATAGAATAAAATGCCCGCTTGCCACATGTTTGTACAGTGAGGGAAAAAAGTATTTGATCCCTTGCTGATTTTGTACGTTTGCCCACTGACAAAGAAATGATCAGTCTATAATTTTAATGGTAGGTTTATTTGAACAGTGAGAGACAGAATAACAACAAAAAAATACGGAAAAAACGCATGTCAAAAATGTTATAAATTGATTTGCATTTTAATGAGGGAAATAAGTATTTGACCCCTCTGCAAAACATGACTTAGTACTTGATGGCAAAACCCTTGTTGGCAATCACAGAGGTCAGATGTTTCTTGTAGTTGACCACCAGGTTTGCATACATCTCAGGAGGGATTTTGTCCCACTCCTCTTTGCAGATCTTCTCCAAGTCATTAAGGTTTCGAGGCTGACATTTGGCAACTCGAACCTTCAGCTCCCTCCACAGATTTTCTATGGGATTAAGGTCTGGAGACTGGCTACGCCACTCCAGGACCTCAATGTGCTTATTCTTGAGCCACTCCTTTGTTGCCTTGGCTGTGTGTTTTGGGTCATTGTCATGCTGGAATACCCATCCACGACCCAATTTCAATGCCCTGGCTGAGGGAAGGAGGTTCTCACCCAAGATTTGACGGTACATGGCCTCGTCCATCGTCCCTTTGATGCGGTGAAGTTGTCCTGTCCCCTTAGCAAAAAAACATCCCCAAAGCATAATGTTTCCACCTCCATGTTTGATGGTGGGGATGGTGTTCTTGGGGTTATAGGCAGCATTCCTCCTCCTCCAAACACGGCGAGTTGAGTTGATGCCAAAGAGCTCCATTTTGGTCTCATGTGACCACAACATTTCACCCAGTTGTCCTCTGAATCATTCAGATGTTCATTGGCAAACTTCAGACGGGCATGTATATGTGCTTTCTTGAGCAGGGGGACCTTGCGGGCGCAGCAGGATTTCATTCCTGCAGCGCCCGCAAGGTCTATGGTCCCAGCTGCCTTGAGATCATTGACAAGATCCTCCCGTGTAGTTCTGGGCTGATTCTTCTGTGGACAGGTGTCTTTTATACAGGTAACAAGCTGAGATTTGGAGCACTCCTTTTAAGAGTGTGCTCCTAATCTCAGCTCATTACCTCTATAAAAGACACCTGGGAGCCAGAAATCTTGCTAACATGCGTTTTTCTGGATTTGTGTTGTTGTTGTTATTCTGTCTCTCACTGTTCAAATAAACCTACCATTAAAATTATAGACTGATCATTTCTTTGTCAGTGGGCAAACGTACAAAATCAGCAGGGGATCATATACTTTTTTCCCTCACTGTATGTTGAACTTCTTCGCCACCATACATAGCCAGAAGTGCTACTCGTTTGTACTCATCAATAATGTCAAATCACTGCTCCAACGATGGATGTGAGGGTGCTCTAGAGTACAATGAAGCTCCTCATCCCGCAGCTTCTCAAAGACTCCTCACTGCTGACCTTTCATCCAGCTCCATCATGGCAGGGGAAGTGTAACTGGGCGTCACCAAGTCGACAGAGTGGCTGATGCAGTGTCGTGCCACCATGGGATGCATTCCGTAGGGCAAGAGGCTGAAGGCAACATGCAAAGGGCAACATGGTAAGCTACAAAATCATCATCAGCATCCATAACAATTATAGTAGTGATCGCACACGTGCCTTCAGTTTGCGATTGCGACAAATACCCCCCCTTGGTTCGTCAGCATATAAAAGCCAGGTTGTCCAATTCATCAACATCAACCAGTCTCAATCCACTGCTGGATGATATGTCAAGCTGCCAACAACTCCCACGATCCCTTGATTCAACAAATCCATGCAACACTTTAACATGAGCAGTTTGCATCGCTCCTAACCTCTGTCCCAATACTTTTGGTAATATAGAGGCATGTCAATGCATTGTGAATTACCTATTCTAGGGGTTAACATTTATATGGTCATTTTTTTTGGGATGACTGTACTCATAAACAATTGAAGGGTGTGTGGGCCACTCTTCACTTCCCATTAATTATAATAGAAATCGATGTTTAATGTACTGTGTTTCCAAACAAAATCCCACTTCACTGGCAAAGGAGACGGCAATGAGAAATGGGCTCAGGCACAGCACGATGATGGGTGCTGCTCAGGCCGCCCACTGGCGGTGATACGCCTGACAATTTGTACCAAAGTGCAAATATATCTGCACAGCTGTGCAAGGAACACATTGAGTTTATTGGGTCGATCATATCTGGTTTCAAATTAATGACGTCCATTTTGCCTAGATTGTGACCATGCAAACTATGGACCATATACGGTAATTAACGAATGGAGTCTGAGCTTCTTCGACGGAGGAGGAACAGCAAATTGAAGTCTCTCCTGAAGCCGTCTCGTCGTGGCTAGCATACCTCGGCATTGGCATTTAGCTCCTACACTTATTTCTGCCACCATACGCAAGGACAGAGGAGAATTGGGACGATGATGCCGGTAGGCGTAAGAGTAAAATATATACCTTATAACAAGGTCATGTGCTTTGACGAGACTTGAGAGCTCCTTCTGCTCCTTGGAGACGTCAATGACAACGGCTAAGATGTTCTGGTATCGCTTGGCCTTCTCTGTCACCTGCCAGGCTGGGACTGATGCTGCACCGCACACATACCCGCACCGTCAACCGCTCTCCTCAGCCATTCCTTCCCCCGCACTTCCAGTTATCACGGTTGGATACGTAAGGCGCGAAAGAACTTTAACATAAATACATTCTCAAAAGCGCAGATCCGCACGCCAGCACACACACACACTCCAATAACACACATTCCTCCATATTAACCAGAGGATGATAGTCGTGCATTTGTCCTCGACAGGAAGAGATAATGGTGCAGCGGCTAAAATAACCGTATCATAACACTGCTGGTGGAAGGCCATGCATGAGGATGATCTCTAGAGAACACCTCCTGAATGAATTTCACCTTTGCTTCCAGGCTGGCCGGATGTCTTTGACAAGGTGGGAGTACCCACACTTTACCCCACCACATGGGACCTGCCAATCGACTGTGGTGTAAGCATCTACCAAGCAGTGGTGTAATGCTGTGGCAGCCTCTCGAGTACTCTATGAGAGAAAAAAACAATGACAGAACTTGTATTCTGTTATGCCGTACAACATGGGATTATGTTGAGTTTAAGGAAACGGTGGTGTGTGATGTAAGGTTAATAATGGTGACTAGGGAAGAGTCGGGGGGGGGGGTCATCTGTGCTTGTTGTTTTAACGATTTTCTTCGCGTGGGTAAACAGTACCACATCACGTATACACAGAGCCGTCCCTAGGAGTATGGCAAATCGGGGCGACTGCCCCGAGCCCCGTGCGTTGGGGGGGGGGGCTGCGCTTCGACGTCACGGCATCAGATTTAATACTGTAGATTATTGATCATCTGCCGCGTGATCATCTGACTTAAAACAATTATCCGGTGGTCTCTGGGTCAATCTAGCGAACCACCGTAACAGCTGACTGAATAACTGCGTCCCAAATAATCATCCCATGCAGAGTCTTCGAGATTGGACTGCTAAGTACGGTACAGTAAATACGGTAAATTATTACAGAAGGATATTTATTTTTTGCCTATTTGAATGTTTATATTTATGCCAATTTCATATAGCAAACAACTTTAAAAGACAAAAAAACATATACACAACATCTAAAAATATAACGGGAAACAAGAATGTGCAAAAATAAGATATTTTAAATTGTTTAGTGATTATCCGGCGTTTTTGAAAATGCGGCATCCTCTTCCCCCCCTAAGGCGAAGGCGCTGGGATAATCGATGATCAACTGGACTTCCAGTTGAGTTCGAAGGCTTTGGGTTGGCCCACACAGTGCCCCGGGCACCACACGCTGCGTATGTCAAAGCTTTCTGCAATGCCCCGTTCTCAGAATTACCCCGTAGCTTTGATAGAGATATGAATATTTTTTTGGAGCATTTTTTTTAACCTTCATGTCGCTGTCATAGATCACAACTTGAAGGTTAAGCAAGAGAGAGAATTCTATGTACAGGGACTCCTCTACTTATGAACGAGTTAGGTTCCAGAGGTCTGTCCATTCCAAACATGATGTACGGCATGTGCACTAACACAGGGAATGGCTCTGTGTTAGTGCCACTGGTTCTTCATGTTCTGCAGATGTAGATGCCACCACCGCCATCTATTGCGTGGCAGTCGGACTTAAGACTCTCGGTCCGAACGGGCAACTGGACATACAGGCAGGTTTGTTCATATATCTCTGAAAGTTTGTCAGTCGAGTGTTCGTAAGTAGAGGAGCCCCTTAAACAGACGGCTTGATCCACACATGACTAGAGCAGCAGCCAAAGCATATTGTGTTTAGTGATTTGCATACCTGTCAACCTCCTATCAGTGTCTACCTTATTACAGACTAATTCAGGGCCTATTGGTCACACCGTGCCCTTATAAATCTCAACGTTCATCCTAAAAAGTTCCAGCACAAGGGAGAAACGCAAACAAATAGACAAAAACATTTGTTTTGCCCGTATTGAAATGGCTGTACGCCGTATGGACCTGAAAACTCAATTTCCCTGTACAAGAATATGGATAAACCGTATGGGTTGACAGATATGGATTTGACCCATCCTTGCAAAGCAAAATAAATGGGGAGCCAGTGCCAGGTTGTTAGCGAAGCCACTCTAATAAGCCGTAACAGTATTGTGTGGAATGACCCAGACAATGTCAAACTTCAGAAACACTCTTAGAAGAAGGCAAAAATAAACTTCAATGGACAGGTTTTTAGTAAAACTCAAACCTGGTGAGCCTCAACCAGATCCAAGTCGAGAAAAAGGACGGAAAAAAGAAGAAAACCCAGAATTTCAGCTTCCTGAAGTTTTAATGGAAAATAACATCTCCTCCTCCTCCTCACCACCATCCTCATAGGCTATCAACTCCTCTCAGCAAGGTAAAGTGATGTTGAATGTTATTTTTATTTTTTTATTTATACATTTGTAGTGCCTTGGATTCACTCGGACGACAATCGCCTTTCTTCCACCGTCACTTTTATTTCCATCGTTCCGCACACACACACACTATAATTTCACACACACACACTATAATTTCACACACACACTATAATTTCTCCTCTCCGCGCTCCGCCCACTCGAACACTCGAATTCCCCTCAGCACCATCCGCTCATACTCCTTGTCTCCACACACAGTCTCTTCTTCTCTCACCGCACACACAGTGGTTCTATCTCTATCGCCTCACACACAGTGACTCGTCTATCTCTTCACACGCAGTGACTTGTCTATCTCTTCACACACAGTGACTTGTCTATCTCTTCACACACAGTGACTCGTCTATCTCTTCACACACAGTGACCTGTCTATCTCTTCACACACAGTGACTTGTCCATCTCTTCACACACAGTGACTCGTCTATCTCTTCACACACAGTGACTTGTCTATCTCTTCACACGCAGTGACTTGTCTATCGCTAACTCTCCCTGTACCTACTTATACCGTAATCTCCACTCTGCTAACGCTAACTCTCGCTATCGTTATTTATTGTCCTATGGGTTCGGCTCTCAATCTATTTCCCACTAACAATTACTGGCTTCCACTCTTCGCATCTCTCTCTCTCTACCCGCTGCTGTCTCCACTTCTCGCCAACTCTCCCGCCGTCCAAATCACCTAGCGTTTTTATCCCCTTTCCAATCAGCCTTAATTAATTGCCACGTGCCTCGCTGGCATTTTCCCGCCAGCTCCGAACCTGTCCAACGCCCCAGACTCCGTGACACAACCACTTAACGCTAACAGCCTCTCGACCAATCACAGCCCTCGTCCCTTGACTCCCTTAATTACTGTGGCTTGTTTACGCCACCCGTGACTTCATCACCTGCCCGACCTTACATGACCCACACTGTTTGTATGTACTGTATATGGCCAATTTACCCATGTGTATTTTCTACTCCACTACACATTTATGTTAATGTATGTATGCATTTTAGTAATAAGTAGAGTCTAAATTATCTTATACAACCCCATTAATATATAATATGCCATATAAAATATCGTTTCTTATACTCTGGAACGGATTATTTCCTTTCCCTTTATTTCTTATGGGAAAACTTAGTTTTGTATTCGTCATTTTCGGTATAAGTCATCCTACCTTCTAGAACGAATTAACGACTTATACCGAGGTACCACTGTACTTCCTATGACATCACAATTTTATCAAACCTGAAATATCAGAAATGTCTTGGCCTAGATGATTTCATCTTGTGGATTAATCTTGAGAATGAGGAACGCGCCCCTGATACACCGCTGCACGTGCTATAGTGAGCAGAGTGCGAGCTGTGTGCACCACCTATGGTGACGACGGTGGCCCCGTCCCGGCTCAGGTAGTCCAGCACGGGCCCGGCGATGTAACCCGAACCCAGCACAAGAACACGCTTCCTGGACGCCATGCTGCTGCCCTTGTAGTTCACAACTATGCAGCACACAGCACCACCAGAGAGACACACACGCCTGTTACCATCTTGTATTCGTACCCAAGATGATTAATGCACCTCCGATTAGCACGGTTGGCTACATACATTGCGAAAGAAGTTCAACATAAATACACATACTATGCGCCACACCTCACATTTGCACGATTGGCTATGTACGGTGCAAAATAAGTTCTACATTACTTACAAACATGATTTCCACGCCTTCTCAACTGCCAGCATATTGCATCATCATCAGGATTCCGACTCAACAATGAAACTCCCCAACCTGACTCAATGTGGCTGCTGGCAGTCCTTAACTTAAGAATAACCCGACTTATGAACACCCGCACTTACGAACCAGCTTCCATGAAATAGAATGTTTACATTTGTAATGGTGTTATTTCACGCAGACAACTTTTTTTCTGCTGCGTCATTTTTATTCGAACAAAACTCCTCACGTGCAACACCACGCAACTCCGTCGCAACCCTCCCGCTTGCGCTGCTCGCCTCACTCCACTCTCTCTCCTAGCCTCTCCACTGCTAGCCTGCTCTCTCTCCTAGTCTCTCCACTGCTAGCCTGCTCTCTTTCACTCTCCTAGTCTCTCCACTGCTAGCCTGCTCTCTCACTCTCCTAGTCTCTCCACTGCTAGCCTGCTCTCTCTCTCACTCTCCTAGCCTCTCCACTGCTAGCCTGCTCTCTCTCACTCTCCTAGCCTCTCCACTGCTAGCCTGCTCTCTCTCTCACTCTCCTAGCCTCTCTACTGCTAGCCTGCTCTCTCTGACTCTCCTAGCCTCTCCACTGCTAGCCTGCTCTCTCTCACTCTCCTAGCCTCTCTACTGCTAGCCTGCTCTCTCTCACTCTCCTAGCCTCTCCACTGCTAGCCTGATCTCTCTCTCTGCTCGTCTCTCCGCTGCTAGCCTGCACTCTCTCACTCTGCTAGCCTGTCTGCCACGTTCTGCTCGCTCCACTCTCTCTCTCTCTCTGCTAGCCTATCACTACACACTCTGGTAGCTTCCCCCTGTACACTCTGCTAGCTTCTCCACTGCTAGCCTCTCACTATATACTCTAGCTTCTCCACTGCTAGCCTCTCACTATATATTCTTCTAGCATCTATACTGCTAGCCTCTCACTATATATTCTGCTAGCTTCTCCACTGTTAGCCTCTCTACTGCTAGCCTCTCATTATATACTCTGCTAGCTTCTCTACTGCTAGCCTTCACGCACTCACACTTAGGATTCCGCTAGCCTCTCTACTGCTAGCCTGTCTGCCCTCGCCTCTCCAACCTCGCCCTTGCCTCCAGTGGGGGGGGGGGGGGGTCAGCCATCACAGCTGGAGGGGACGAGGTGTCGAGAGCGGGGCCCTGTACTTCTCTTGTGTTCACTCTTCTTTTCACTCCAACCAACTCAACTCCCTGCCTCACACGTTGCGGTATTTATACTGGTAGGAAACGTAGTGGGCTGGAAGCCCAACCGGGTTTAATTCACAGGAGGCAGGGGATTAATTGTGTATGTCTGTGGATGTCTGTCGACGTGGGAGGGGTGGGGCTGGGTGGAGAGGGGAGGGTAGGGAGGCGCTGGGTGGGGAGGGGAGGGTGGGGAGGGGCTGGGTGGGGAGGGTGGGGCTGGGTGGGGGGTGGGAGGGGTGGGGCTGGGTGGGGTGGGGCTGGGTGGGGAGGGGCTGGTCACCCCGTGGTGCCCTTATAAAACTCAACGTTTAACCTACTCACGCCGGCTTGTGCCTCACAGTCGGGCATATTTGCGGAATACACCACGTGGTGCCGCCGTTGACCCTGGCCATTGACCGAGCAACCCAACGTTCCTACCAGCTCCCTCCGGAAGCTGTCATCGCCTCAATCTGCAGACTCTGAGACGCCTACACCGTGTCTGCATTTGCAGCCAGCCAATCACCACTATGCATCTTAATTGGTCACCTTCTCTGGTTGCTGTCTCTCTTTTTTACGATCAGAGGAAACAAGAAGATGCTCGGTGTAGTCGACACTTTGCTTCATTCATCATTTCGTTTTTTTAATTGCTTTGTTTTATGTAACCCCCCCCTCCCCTTTTGAATGAAAGATTTCACGTTCTGCTCTCCTTACCCCTTCCCTCTCTTTCTACTCCCTCTCTGCCACCCCCTCTCTCTACCACCTCTCTCCCTACTCCATGTCGCTCTCTCTCTCTGCACCTGTTTGCCCTGACGTGACTTCACTGTCCGCGGCTCACACGTGCATGCACACTCTTTGCAAACCCCCGCGCGCATTACTCCACTACACATTGACTTAAAACTCGCACTTAAAATTGTAACCACGGAACTGTTTTGTTCAGATCCTCCGTGAGCTGTAATGAGTCTCGCGCGGTGAGTGAGTGCTCGTGCATGTGTAGTGTAGCGGTCCGCACTACGCTGCACTACGAATCTCACGACCGGGGTTCGATTCCTGCTTACGGACAACACCAGTGTCGATTACCTGAACCGGTCCTGGGCCTCCCCCAGGTCGACTCAGCCTCAAATGAGTACCTGGTGCAGTGTTTAGTAAACATTGCCAGTGGGGAGACAAAGGCGGCCGGGCGTGGTTCTGATCAACCCACCCCCTAGTGTGCCGTTGCTGGCCTTCATAGGTGCTCGCTAACAGCACTTGCCCCAACAGTCTGTTAAGGCTATATGGGGGATATTTGTCTTGTACGCACGTGCTACGTGTTTGCGAGCGCGCGCCCGTGTGTGTATGGAGCGGTCGTGCAAGGTTTAGCACGCTGCTGTCCCAACCTGCCCACCCGAGTTCGACTCCCGCTCACGACCAACGCCAGTGACGATCATCTGAATGGGTCCTGGGCCTTCCTCTAGGTCAACTCGGCATCAAGTTAGTAGCTGTGTAAAGAAGCTCCCTTCGAGACGGCCGCTTAGAAGGGTTGAAGGTCGATATGGCTCCTTCACAGTCAGCCCCCCCCCATCTACCCTGTTGTTCTGCACTCTTGTCGTTCGCCTCTTGGCATTCTAACACTGGTTGAGACTAGGCCCTAGAGAAGGTTGCTGTCTCTGATGTAGACCAATACGTTTCAAAGACAATGCCATCCACTATAAGAGCATGTTTTTGTTTCCACGGTCACCACGAGTACGTGTGGTTAATGCAGACACGATTCCTTGCAAAAAGGCTTCTGTTTAGTATTTGAACACCTGTTCAGTGTAAACATCGCCACTGGGTGGCCGTCACTGGTGCCTGGACATGGTCGCTGCCCATTCTACCCCTAGTGTGCTTGTGCCGGTCTTCATAGGCGCTGCCTTTCAACAGTCTCTTCAAACTATACAGTGAGGGGAAAAAAGTATTTGATCCCTTGATGATTTTGCACGTTTGTCCACTGACAAAGAAATGATCAGTCTATAATTTTAATGGTAGGTTTATTTGAAGTGAGAGACAAAATAACAACAAAAAAAATCCAGAAAAACGCATGTCAAAAATGTTATCAATTGATTTGCATTTTTATGAGGGAAATAAGTATTTGACCCCCTCTCAATCAGAAAGATTTCTGGCTCCCAGGTGTCTTTTATACAGGTAACGAGCTGAGATTAGGAGCACACTCTTAAAGGGAGTGCTCCTAAACTCAGCTTGTTACCGGTATAAAAGACACCTGTCCATAGAAGCAATCAATCAATCAGATTCCAAACTCTCCACCATGGCCAAGACCAAAGAGCTCTCCAAGGATGTCAGTGACAAGATTGTAGACCTACACAAGGCTGGAATGGGCTACAAGACCATTGCCAAGCAGCTTGGTGAGAAGGTGACAACAGTTGGTGCGATTATTCACAAATGGAAGAAACACAAAATAACTGTCAATCTCCCTCGGCCCCGGGCTCCATGCCAGATCTCACCTCGTGGAGTTGCAATGATCATGACAACGGTGAGGAATCAGCCCAGAACTACACGGGATGTCTTCTTCTTTGGTTCTTTCGGTAAAGTCACGTAGAATGAGAATAAAATAATAAATTGATAAAATAAAATAACACAATAATATTTTCACGACGTTTCGGCCACAACACAAGATTCTACGTGACTTTACCGAAAGAACCAAAGAAGATGAATCATTGCAGTCACGAAAGCTTTAAATCGAAACGGGATGTCTTGTCAATGATCTCAAGGCAGCTGGGACCATAGTCACCGAGAAAACAATTGGTAACACACTACGCCGTGAAGGACTGAAATCCTGCAGCGTCCGCAAGGTTCCCCTGCTCAAGAAAGCACATATACATGCCCGTCTGAAGTTTGCCAATGAACATCTGAATGATTCAGAGGACAACTGGGTGAAAGTGTTGTGGTCAGATGAGACCAAAATGGAGCTCTTTAGCATCAACTCAACTCGCCGTGTTTGGAGGAGGAGGAATGCTGCCTATGACCCCAAGAACACCATCCCCACCGTCAAACATGGAGGTGGAAACATTATGCTTTGTGGGTGTTTTTCTGCTATGGGGACAAGACAACTTCACCGCATCAAAGGGACGATGGGTGAGAACTTCCTTCTCTCAGCCAGGGCATTGAAAATGGGTCGTGGATGAGTATTCCAGCATGACAATGACCCAAAACACACGGCCAAGACAACAAAGGAGTGGCTCAAGAAGAAACACATTAAGGTCCTGGAGTGGCCTAGCCAGTCTCCAGACCTTAATCCCATAGAAAATATGTGGAGGGAGCTGAAGGTTCGAGTTGCCAAACGTCAGCCTCGAAACCTTAATGACTTGGAGAAGATCTGCAAAGAGGAGTGGGACAAAATCCCTCCTGAGATGTGTGCAAACCTGGTGACCAACTACAAGAAACGACTGACCTCTGTGATTGCCAACAAGGGCTTTGCCACCAAGTACTAAGTCATGTTTTATTTAAATACTTATTTCCCTCATTAAAATGAAAATAAATTTATAACATTTTTAACATGCGTTTTTCTGGATTTTGTTGTTGTTATTCTGTCTCTCACTGTTCAAATAAATCCACCATTAAAATTATAGACTGATCATTTCTT